ATTTACTTAGATATAAAGCTTATTGTTAGCATACATAAAATATTGATTAGCTATTTTGTTCTTACATTTTTTAATCGTGAGTAAATTAAATATCTATATAATATGTTTTGCACCTGTAACTTTTGATGCCAATGTTTTTTATTTGAGAATCCTTCAAGAATGAAGATTAGTTTTTATTATTTAAATGGACAATACAAAACCATTTTTATTTATTTTAAATATGAAGTTATATAATACAAAGCTATCCCCACTCAGTCAAGTCAGTATAGACACAGATTAAAGGTAGAATCAAGTCAGTGGAGTCACAGATCTAGAATCTACAGACTATAAAGTTCTCCTTTATGAACAAAGGTGGGATACTTTTAACCATGCTTGAAATTTGATTGCTTATGGTCAGTATGCAACATCAGAATGCAGTAAAGAGAAAATGGTGCACCACTGGAAGACAGACACAAAAGAAAGCCAAAAGGTTTTCTTAAGTTTCTTAAAAAAAAAATCCATGCAATTATCATATGCCTGAAATGACTGAGATTATGGAAAAGAATAGGTTGCCTGAGTGCATGGCATAAAGGTAAGTCTACTTTTTATCTCTAGTGGGGACCATGCATGTAACAGCAGATCCACAGGTGGTATATTGGAATTGTGAGTTCTATTGCGACATAATAGTAAGAATGTTAATTGACATAGAAGCATGCTGACATGCATATATATGAAGATGTTATACTGAAAAAATCATATAAAAAGAAATGTTGACAATGTATTCAGTGACACAAACTTCTCACCAATAGCAACATGGTTCTTTTATTTCTTTAGTGTTTTCATATGTGTGCATGTCTGTGTGAATATGTGTACATGTATGTATTTATGTATATGTATACATGTGGGTATGCATTTATAAGTGTGCATATATATATATATATATATATATATATGTTTTGTGAAAGAGAGGGGGAGGGAGAGAGAGAGGGAGAAAGAGAGAGAAGGAGAGGGAGAGAGAAAGAGAGAGAAGGAGAGGGAGAGAGAGAGGGAGAAAGAGAGAGAAGGAGAGGGAGAGAGAGAGAGAGCAGAAACCACAGTACATATACCATGGATTGCCCATGTGTATGGAGAACAGAGTAAAACCTCTATAATTAGATTCTTGTCTTCAGACATGGTTCATTTAAAATAGTCATATGGTAGAACAGACCCAAACAAAGAAGATGGGACCTGTCATAATTATACTTTGAAAGTAACATGATGAAAAATGAAAAGAAGGAATTCTTAGTTGCTCAAATATAGAAGGTTTTTGGGATTTATATTTGTAGGGCTGTTTGCTCCAGTTACACCACCCAAATAAAATCCAGGGCTTTCTTGTTATTTCTGAAGGGAGAGTGCGGCTGCAGTTTGGCTTCTCAAACAACTGTTTAAAACAAAGCATATTGCGTATAGCTATATCATAATTTAGATTTATATCATTGAATGTCTGCTGAAATATTTATTTAGTTTTTAAGGTAACTTTTCTGCTAAAAGCACCTGTAGCAATTGTCTTCAAAGTGTCATTCAGGCATCTGTAGGGATCCCGAGAGCATTTTAAGAAGTCTGTGCGCTTAAAACTATTTTCATAATAACACTAAAACTTTATAGCCTTTTCACTTGCAACAGCCCATGAATTTGAAGTGGGATTTTACAGAGGGTACAGACTGCATAACAATATTGTAAAATGTGCAGTGTCAACATCTGAAAGTTTTGCATAATTCAGGAGTGAGAAATGAAGAGAAATAACTGGATGTGGGTACTGAAAATAGTTGACTTTTGCTTAAAATCCTAAATTAGAATCACACACACATACACATGCAAATGACTCTTCATTAGACCCCTTCTTTTCATCACAGTGTTGAGAACATAAGAAGAGATCAGTATATACCTAAGAAAAGAGTATGTTTAGAGACCAAGATTATTCTCTACTCAATTTGAAATGTTTTACATTTTATTTTTTATGATTTTTTATTACTTAAATTATGTTCATGTGAGCCCAGGTATTTACATAACTACTGGAATTTGCACTCAGGTCCTGATGAATGCGCACGTGTGCTCCTATGGATTACCTATGTTCCGGGTCCCTAAGGTTTTTTTTTATTGATTTTTATTGAGCTCTACATTTTCTCTGTTTCCTTCCCTACCTCTCCCCTCTTATGATTAATTGACAGAATTTCTGTACTACACCTTTTTTTTCCTGCATATCCCAGAGATTTTTGAAAACAATGGAAGGAGCAGATACCCTCCACCAACAACATAAAATCAAATATGGTTTGTGATTTCTTTGTTTGATTTCCTCTCCCTAAAGGCGACAGTGTTCAGAAAGGCAGTGGCAAAGAATCAATGCATTGAAATACTGAATACCAATTCCTGAACTATAAACTAAAGATACAATGCAAAATATATTAAGTGTTTCTTAAGCATGTATGATGTTTAAAGTGCGTTCATCAGACTTATACAAAATTTATGCCTCACACAATTTAATATTTCTAAAAAAGTCAATAATCACTAAATATTAAAACAATTAGGTAATATGGCATTAAAACTGAATAAAATTGGTTTTGTTTAGAAAATAAATGAATAAACTTTATTTTATTTTTTTCAGTCTTACATTTGATCTTTATTTTTTTTTAAAGACATTTTTTTTAATTGAAAAAAAAATTCCGCCTCCTCCCAGCCTCCCATTTCCCTCCCCCTCCCTCCACTCCTCTCCTCCTCCCTCTCCAGTCCAAAGAGCAGTCAGGGTTCCCTGCCCTGTGGAAAGTCCAAGGTCCTCACCCCTCCATCCAGGCCATAGAACCTTTATCTGGCGATGGATGAAGACAGAGACAGAGACCCACACTGGAGCACTGGACTGAGCTCCCAAGGTCCAAATGAGGAACAGAAGGAGGGAGAACATGAGCAAGGAAATCAGGACCTAGAGGGGTGCACCCACCCACTGAGACAGTGGGGCTGATCTGTTGGGAGCTCACCAAGGCCAGCTGGACTGGGACTGAAAAAGCATGGGATAAAACCGGACTCTCTGAACATGGCGGACAATGAGGGCTGATGAGAAGCCAAGGACAATGGCACTGGGTTTTGATCCTACTTCATATTCTGGCTTTGTGGGAGCCTAGCCAGTTTGGATGCTCACCTTCCTAAACTTTATTTTATATATTATATATTTTATGTGGCATTCGTCTTATTTGTGATAATAAATTTTACCTCATTCAAGTATATTTTCCCATTTTTTCCTTAAATAATTTTATCAATGCTATTTGACCTATCCAGTTTTAAATTTCAGAAAGAGGAGCGCTCTAATATTTTTCCTTAACAGACCTCCTGCAGTCAGCATATATTCTCCACACAACTGCTTTGAATGGCAACTCAGCTGTTTTGGTGTGTTTACATAAAAAATAGCAGCTCAATGACTTTATAATCATACTCATCTTAAGAGTAAATCATAAAATTACTGTACCAAACAAAGCTTGTTATTGGAGATTAAGTCAACGACTTCCAAATTCCTGTAGACATGCAGATGCTTTTCAGAAGGAAGCTGGGAACCCCATGGGTATTTGGGAGAGTGCCAGCGGGACACAAGGATGAACACGGGAGCGCTTTGAGCAACTATGTGTGGGAAGGGAATGCATCCACTTGGCTGCTATGGTTGACGAGAATCTTCTGACACTGAAATTTCAACACAAAGCCTCTTGCATTTTTACTCAGAATTAACACATGAGAATATTGATATAGCAATTTCTTCCTTTTTTACTAAAGAAAAATAAATGGTCCTCAAGTGTCTTTACTCCTAATGAAGTCACAAGCCGTATAATGAAATTCTGAGCAGAAACAAAGTTGAGTCTCCAGAAAGCAGATGGTCATATTTATAAATCCCTGTCAGTTTCCCACTAGGTCAGTCATTCCTTTGAGTATTCTAGAATCAGGAATCAAGTTGGAACCAAGGATACTCACATTTAATAATCATGTGCCACAGAGAAATTAGAGACTCACACAGGCACTAGGTTATACTATAGGTAATCAAATATAAGTCTCTTATCAGAAATGCTTTATTAAAACTGGAAGATCTTTTTAAATATAACAGCTGTTACAGAAACAAAACAAGCAACAAAACTCCTTCTGTACCACTAAATGTTTATAGAGTCAGATGCTTACAAAAGAGGTCTTTAGAGGACTGAGCAATAGTGGGGAGAAGAAAGTCATTTCTTAGGATGATAAGTAAATATTTTCCTTTGCTAAATATGTTTCCTCCTGGGAAAAGAGTGTAGTTGGAAATATGATATATGATGCTGTTTTTATAGAACCTGTACTAGCTGATGTTTGTGGAGAGTAGAGAAACGTCAAGAGACTGTTCTTATTGTTTAACTACCCATGCTTCTAACTCCATCTCGTCTTCAGAACTGGATAGCTGAAGTCACTCTTATAAGTGCATTCTACTAGCCACAAGTTTAACTCTTTTCTTATCTAAAATGATATTTATGTACAAGGGATATATTCAGTAATAAAACTGAACCTGCTACATGGAGACATATATTTAGAACATACATGGCAAGGATAAAAGACACCCTCATAATTGGATAAAGAATAGTCTTTATTTTTAAAGTCTTTATTGAGAATATTAATTGTCAATGCTTTAAAAATAACCTAGTGCTGCAAGAACCCAGAGAATTTATCAATCATGCCTGTTAAAGGTTGTGCAGTCAGAAAGAGTGAGTAGTCAAATGTCAGTAATTTAGGCATGTGGAGACCTTGCTGTGTTGAGCAGAGGCTTTTTAGAGCAGGTAAGTTATTTAAAATAATAGTAGTTATTTGGCTGTTAAATGTAAACTATCAGGTTTCACAGAATAAATAATATTTTAATTATTGAGAAATGACTCCATCTATAAAAAACATAACTGACACATGACTTTATGTTATTGTTTCTACTTGTTTCTACGCCCAGATATTTAAATAAGGAAAACAAAGACGGTGGAATCCCCACTACTCACTCTAGTCGTATAAGCAGCTTCTGGGTCATCTTCGAGTACCCGAGAGAGTCCAAAGTCAGAAACTTTACACACTAAGTTGCTGTTGATCAAGATGTTCCGAGCAGCAAGGTCCCGGTGGACATAGCCCATATCCGAAAGGTACTTCATACCTGATGCTATCCCACGGAGCATTCCCACCAACTGGATGACTGTGAACTGGGCATCATGTTTCTGAAATGCATTTACAATACAGGATAAAATTCATTCCATTGCTTTGGAAATTTATGTGTCAAGATCTTTCATTGTTGACTCTACACATTTTAAATAAAAGCACATAATACTACCATGATTTGTAGACAAATGAATGCACGGCTAACTCAAAATTGTTAGTAGTTGCAGCACCCAGTATAGTATCATACAATCTAAATTCTGTTCAAAATAGTATTGACTTGATCCCACTCCTTTAGCTAACTAAATAAATTATTACGAAAGATAAAGTCATAGCGTCATGGACAGAGGACCCTTTATTTATATTTATATTTAAATAGTAACAAAGAGTTTTAAAGGTGTTATTTGGGACAATACAAAAACCTTACACATTTAAAAGAAGTCTAAAATGCAAACCATACATGTAAGAAATTACAAGTTAAAGATGAAATTTTACAATTTTTTCTTTACTAATTAATCCTAGACTATTTCACTGTTTGTTGAAATTTAGACACCAAAATTCTTAGCACAGTATTAGAAGGTGTTTAATATTTTCTATAACTTACTTGTCAATATGTGTATTTATATGCACTATATCATAGAAACACATAAACTTTATACATATGATATTTTACTCACACGTAAGAAACTGTCCAAGGAGCCATTCTCCATGTATTCTGTAACGATCATCACTGGCTTACCTAAACATAAAATAAATGATAAATATATATTCATCAGTATGCTTAGTTGGCCTCAACCATAGAACCAACTATATAATACACTTTGTAACATCTAATTCACACAGGTGACTTCTGTGATCTCTAAACATTACAAAGTTGCAATTAAAAATATTTCAAAATAAAATAAAAAATACAGAAAGCCAGGTTCTAGAACAAATGCCTGTAACCTACTTTATCTAAATTAAGTTATTTATTATAGTGTTCAAGAGCCATAAAACATCCAAGTACATCCCTTTTTTCTTTTGCTTCTGAGGTATTTTTACGAAACAAACATTTGTCTTCAACCTCATTGTCTTGGTTTCATTCCTGTTACTATGATAAAAAATATTTGCCAAAAGCCAACGTGGGAGAAAGGTTTTATGCTTGCTCACAGTTTTACATCACAGTTTTTTATGCAGAAGTCAAGACAGCAGTCATTGCAGGGGTGAGTTATTTTCACAGATAACTACCAGATACTGAATGTATGCATACCAGGTGCTTTCTCTCTTTACAAAGAGGGCAGGACCCAAACATGAGGAACCAGGCCACTCACTTTAGGCTGGGTCATGCCACATCTAGAAGACAATCTCTCCTAGGTCAGGCCATCCAGATAATTCCTCAGTGAGGCCTTCTCTGCAGGTGATTCTAGACTCTGGCAGATTGGCATTTCAAACTAATCACCATGCTGCAGATGCTCAGGATTTGGTATTTAGTGTTCTTGTCTGTATACTATGGAGCAGTAGTCTGTTCATCAGACTCACATGAATCTCCCTATTTTACTCTTCCCCACAAATTTTTAATGTTAGTATGCCTATAGTTACACTTTCATATAACAAAATATTTCTCATAACATAATATGACCAAGTTGAGAGGATCTGAGTTAGGTCAGAAGTAAAAAATATTGAATGTCCATGAACATAAAACAGGCTTTGACCAATGTTCATCTAATTGCATGATGCAATCATGAGTTTCCCTTCTAAGCATCTTCTCTGATGTGGGGATATGTTGATTAATTATTAACTAGTTAATTTTTAATTCTGCTTTCTCTGATATGTTTTTCTTTATTTTTATTAATTTTGATAATTATAACAGCATTAAGCCAGTTTTATTTTTTTCTTCCTCATGGTTTTAGTTATCTTATTTTTTTTAATTTTAAAACAGGCTCTCATATAATTTAGTCTTGAACTCACTGTGGAGCATAGACTGGCAGTGAACTTTGGAAATCTCCTCCTTCCATCTGCTGAGTGGTCCTCACATACACATCTTCCACACTCAGGTGGTCCAGTGCTAGACCCTTGGTTTCTTGAATGCTGGGAAGCAGTCTATCAAATAAGCTACACTCTTAGCTAGGTGGCCATTTTGATACTACAAACTATCTTCATTCCTGTACACTTTCCTTTTATTGGTGAATATCAACACTGAACCATGAATCAGTTCCCTGTATGTTACTGTTATAGTTCTTATAGTTTTAATATAGCTTAATAATTTTACTTAATCAAATATTCAACTATTTAAATGATATAAAAATTTTCATGTATATTATTTCAAATGTTATACTGGCTTATTTTCATTAAAGTGTTGATTTATTTACAGTCTTCAGGTGTCACATAAATGTACCTCCTTGACCTAGTGAAATCTAAAGAACACTTTACTCAAAACCTTTATTATTTATTGTTGCTTTTATCAAATCCTAGCTACAATTTAGTTTGACAATTTTCAAGAAGAAATGCAAGATTTACTTGTGCCTTAGAAACTGTGATGTGCCTTAGAAACTGTGATGTCTCTTAAGACATTTTTTTCAGCCCTGTCCTGTAGTAAAATAAATGAATGATTGAGAAGTGAATGAAAAGAAAGCCTGCTCATTCAACGTCTGATCATTATCCGAGTCTGTGCTCATTTATTATGCAATTTGGAGGAGAATGATATGCTACCAAAGTTGAGTATATGCTTCAATAGGAATCAACAACACTGCTTCATTTGGCTGGTCCCTGCATTTGGATACCACTCAGCTCTCTGCTTATCACTGATTTCCTCTGGCTCTTGGCCTTATGGCCATTTCATTTCTCATTAGCATGTCTTGTAAAATGTTTGGCAAGGGAAATAAAAGTAACTAAAAAGTCAGACCAGTCAATTAAGCCATGGCCCCATGACCATTCAGAAATCAGATCAGGCTGCCTTTAGCTCTTCTAATTTAGGTATTTGTAAACACTTCAGTTAAGATAGGCAAGCCTGAAAATGTGCTTCGCATTAAGTTCAAAGATCCAGCAACCCAAATGTACAGACAAAGAGCAAAAAAAAAATCACTTGGAAAGCAATATCTTAAGAGTTTCCTTTGTGATCTCGATAAATATGGTCAGAAACAAAGACTGTGGAGTAGTGGTGAGAATTTGCTGTAGCATGCAGCAAATGCAGTGGGAAACAGTCTACAAACACCAGCTCATCTGCACATTATGCGGTGTGCTGGCATTAAAGTTTGCACAACTCATCCTGTGTGCTTTGATTAGCACACAACACAATCTGTTTCCTAAAACTGGAACTGGTCTCGTTTATTGTCATGAGAGACCCCAAAACATACTTGGGGATATGCACTAAGCTCAGTGGAAATTCAGTTCTATGAGTGGCTGAAGAATCTCCATCAAAAACTGCCCAGGCAGATTTCAATGTGAGATTTCATTTTTGCTTCAAAATTTACTCAATATAAAAAAAAATATGGTGGGGGATTGGAGAAGGTTTCTATCACAGCTGTTCAGTTACAGAATCAAGTCAGTCTGGTATAGTGAGTTCATTGCCTCAGTTATCCGCAGTAGTTCAGAAATACTAGAAATCCCTTAATCACTGCCCAGTGAGAGTATCTAAGAATTCCAGATTCAGCCCTGGATATTTAGGACTGCAAGTCTCCTAATAACAATTTCCACAAAGACAATTCCTTCGATGCTGTAATATAGTTAGTTGTAGTCATGCTGTCTTTACAAATTTCTAATCTAATTTTTCAGGTTAAAAGAGTTACATTCAAATTTAATAATATTCATCAGAACTAAAACATTAAAGGAAATGCTAGTGACCCAGATACAGTACCACTAAGACTCCAATCTGTCTTACATATGCTGTCGGCTTGTGTCGAGCCTTGCTATGCATCCTGGCTGGCCTGACACATGCTGCATTGCCTAGACTGGCCTTACACACATGGCACCCTTACATGAGCTTCCTGTGTAGTTCATTTCCAATGAGGAATGCGTGGGTCCTTAAGCACACTTTTATAAATGGGTGTGAAACAAAATAAAAATCATTGTCATTAATCGATAGTACTCTTTTGGTGATATTAAGTAATCAGAGAATTAAAAAAAAAAGAAGAGAAGGAAATTGGAACAAATCCCCAAAAATATACTTCACAATATTTCTGAGACAGAAAATTTGTATGTGAAAACATAGGTTTTGCTCTGTAGGTAATAAGTTGATACAAATATTGTAACAAATTAAATATTTTTATTTTCTTATTAGACCATTATGAAAATATGAGGGGCTATTTCTTGATTCAGTTTTTTACCAGAATCATTTTTCTGTGGTAATAAACAGTAATGTCTACCAATGTATGTGTTAAGGAAAGCAGAGGTCAACTCCATTTAAAGCAAGATCCAACTCCACTGCCCAGCATCAGGCCAGTGACACGTGCAGAGGTCAAGTCTGTGAATGGGGTTTACTTATGATTTTGCTGGGTGGTGCCTGAAGCTATGCTCTGGGAATTCCTTAACAACCACACTTGCCATCTTAACTCTGCATCTTTACATTCAGCTGAAGTCATAGTATACATGTTTTCTTAGAAAAATGCTCTGTGTAGGAAATGAACATTTGTTCATATGTGTGCATGTATGTGTATGTGCACATGGAGGCCAAACATCAGCTTCAGGTTTGTTCTTCTATTACTTTCTACCTAAGGTTCTTGGAGACAGAATGTTTCAGTGGCCGTGAAGCTCACTGATTCTTGGATGTTATTAGTTCATTGAGAGTGGTTTTTTTTTTTTAGCTCTACATTTTTCTCTGCTCCCCTCTCTGGCTCTTCCCTCCCTTTCAGTCTTCTCCCAGGGGCCCCATACTCCAAATGTACTCAGGAGATCTTGTCTTTTTTGCTTCCCATGTAGATTAGATCCATGTATGTCTAAGGACCCCTTAGGGTCCTCATGGTTGTCTAAGTTCTCTGGGATTGTGATTTGTAGGTTGGTTTTCTTTGTTTTATGTCTAAAACCCCCTTATTAGTGAGTAAATATGATAATTCCCTTTCTGTACGTACTCACTCAATATGATGTTTTCTAGCTATGTCCATTTGCTCACAAGTTTCAAGATGTTGTTATTGAGAGTTTTAAGAAATATATTCTTTTGTCTTATTAAACCCTTCCAGAACTCTCACTATCCTAACTTTGTGTCTTCCTTTAAAAAAAAAATAAACTCATCAAGTATAGTTTATATTTCCTACATGCTGTCGGATATAGATATGTGGCCCTCCATTGGAACATGGTTGACCTATAAGTATCTGTGCCTTCTAGAAGGATGACGCCCCCCTGATGGAGTAGGGTCATCTGTCTATGTGTTACTTTCATTGGTTAATAAAGAAACTGCCTTGGCTTTTTGATAGGGCAGGATTTAGATAGGCAGAGTAGACAGAACAGAATGCTGGGATGAAGGGAAGTGAGGCAGACGCCATAGCTCTCCTCTCCGAGAAGGATGCAGGTTAGAATCTTCCCAGTAAGCCACTTCGTGGGGCTACACAGATTATTAGCAATGGGTTAATCAAGATGTGATAGTTAGCCAATAAGAGGCTGGAACTAATGGGCCAGGCAGTGTTTAAATGAATACAATTTGTGTGCTGGTATTTCGGGTGTAAAGCTTGCAGTATGGGGAGCTGGGTGGGATGAAAAGCAGGCCTGCCCCCTTCTCAACAGCTCCTTAGATGTAGGTGAAACTTGGTGCTGTCTCCCATCTTTCTGAGG